CCCAAGTCTGGGGAGTCAGTCAAGTCTGTAATTAGTCGATCCCCTGCTCGAAGCGGGAGGGAGGGAGGGAGACGAGGGCGGCCCAGACACGTTCGCGCCGAAACAACAAAAAATCACGACGGGGAGGTTTGGGCCGTTTTCGGCCTCTGGGGGCCCTCGCCGAGCCCCAGGGCCGTCAACAAACAGCTCCCGACGAAAAGCCGGCCCCGGTGAAAGGGTCGGGACTTCTGGGAATCCTGCATTGCAAAAAGCAGGACAGCGCATGCCTGGGGAGGAGTAAGAAGGAGGCAGCAGGAAGAAGAGGGAGGGGGCGAGGGAGACAAGACGAGGGACGGAGGAGGAGACGGGAGGGAGAAAAGGGAGGGAGGGAAGGAGAGGAGGCAGGCAGAGGAGGAGAGGAGGGAGAGGAGGCATGGCGGGAGCGGAGGGAGGGGGAGGAAGGAAGGGCATGGGAAGGAAGGGAGGGTGGAAGTGAGAGGGAGGAGGAGGAGGAGGAGGAGGAGGAGGAGGAGGGGAGGAGGAGGAGGAGGAGCGAGGAGAGGAGGAGGACGGAGGAGAAAGGAGGAGGAGTGAGGAGAGGGGAGAAGGATAGGAGGTGAGATAGGCAGGAGGAGGAGGAGGAGGAGGAGGTGGAGGAGGAGGAGGTGGAGGAGAGGAGGAGGATGGTGGAGGAGGAGGGAGGAGGAGGAGGAGGTGGAGGAGGAGGGTGGGAGGAGGAGAAGGGGGGGAGGAGGAGAAGGAGGAGGAGGGAGGAGGGGCAGGAGGGAGGAGAGGAGGAGGAGGAGGTGGAGGAGGAGCAGGAGGAGGAGGAGAGGAGGTCGGAGCAGGAGGAGGAGGAGGCGGAGGACGAGGAGGCGGAGGAGGAGGAGAGGAGGAGGAGGAGGACGAGGAGGAGGAGGAGGAGGAGGGGGATCGAGGGACAGGCGGTGGAGAGAAGGAGGGAGAAGGAGAAGGAGGGAGGTCGGCGAAGCGGAGAGGCGGAAGCGAGGAGGAGGAGAGGAAGAGGAGGAGGAGGAGGAGGAGGAGGGGGGGAGGCTATCGAGGAGGAGGGAGCAGGAGGAGGGGAGGAGGAGGAGGGTGGAGGGGGCCGAGGACGAGATGAGGAGGAGGGTGTGGGAGGAGGAGAGGAGGAGGAGGAGGAGGAGGAAGGAGGAGCAGGAGTGTGGAGGAGAAGGAGGGAGGTGGAGGATGTGGAAGGATGGGTGAGGAGGAGGAGGAGGAGGATGGGGAGGAGGAGGAGGAGGAGGAGGACGAGGAGGAGGAGGTGAACGACGAAGAGAGACATTTTTTCCTGCCAGCCCACGAAGCAGTGCCGCTCGCGAGCACACGTCCCTCCGAATTTGCCACGGCCCTGCAGGCAATCAAGCCTCCGGGGCTCATTGCCGCAGCAGCCGTGCCGACCCCGTGCGCGAGGCACCGTCCCCGGTGGAGGAGCAGGAGGGCGGGGGGTGACCAGGGGACAGGGAGATGGTAAGGAGGAGGGGAGGGGGGGAGGAAGTAGATGGGAGGAGGCGTGGGAGGAAGTAAATGGGGGGAGGAAGTAGATAGGGGGGAGGAAGTAGATGGGAGGAGGAAGTAGATGGGAGGAGGAAGTAGATGGGAGGAGGAAGTAGATGGCAGGGAGAGGGCAAGAAAGCAGGTGGGGGGAGGAGCGGCAACGGCATCAGGAGGAGGAGCACGGCGACGACGCTGACGGTGACGGCGTCAATGCCGACGACGATGGCGGTGACGGCGTCAATGACGACGCCGATGATGATAAGGATGACGACAGCGGCGACGGCCACGGCCACGGTGACGACGGCGACGACGCTGCCGCCGCCGCCGCCGACGACGACGACGACGACGACGACGACGATGGGGAGGAGGTGGAGCAGCAGCAACAGCGCAAGGGCGAGAAGGAGCTGCCAGGGGAAAAAGGGTCGGCTACACGAACGAGTGACCCGAGGCAGGAGCGGCCTTTGGAGCGCGACTTTAGGGGGCCGCGGCGGGCCCGAATCCCAGCGCGCGGGCCAATGCTGGGGGCACACCTGTGGGCGCGCACCGAAGGTCACTCCGGCGAAGGGTCACTCTGACATGTGGCCGAACGGCTCAGGC